GCTCCGGGCGTTCATTGGCCAGGACTAGGCCGCACTTGGGCGTGCGTTCCCTTTCCAGACCGGCATGCCTCGCGCCTGCACCCGTTCCCATAGCGACGGGAACGCGCAGTGTCCGAGCAGCGCCCCCTCCTGCTGTTTTGCCGTAACGGCCCCGCCGCCGCGGCTGCCCACGGTAAGCGGGGACATCGAGGGAGCCCGGCTACAGCCTGAACACACTCTAAAACTGTTGTAATACTGAGACCGCTGCAAATGAATAGGAAGGAGACGCGGCTAAAAGCCCACCCCGTGCTCTCTAGCAGATGGATTTACTGCAAAACCAGAGCCCAGCTGGGAACTCCCTGTTACCTCCAACTGGGCAAAAAGTTTTGAGTGCACCCAGGGAAGCAGCTTCTGAGCTTCTTCTCAACAAGGAGGCTGCTATCCGCAGGAACTTTCATTACTGAAAACAGACACGGGACACTGAGCTTATCCTCAGGGCTCCAAATATCTACCAGCGCAGTGCCTAACTGAATCAAGTCACTGCAGGCAGCCTTCGGACCTACAGACTGCTGTCGACCCAGGCAGGGCTTGCTCTAACTCCTACTTGTCCCTGTCAGAGCACGCTCCTGTCCAAGCGCAGGGCTCCTCTGCGCACCTTTGGGTCACCAAGTTACTTGTGCGTTTAGCTCAGCATTCAGATATTCTGGATTGGAGACGAGATTTCTTTGAAAGGTGGTTGTTCACAGGGAAATGAGGAGGAGCACAAGCAATGCTAGGCAAAATGAGAGAACAGCCATAGAACTTTTAAAGATGGAATACACATAACATTTTTATTAGCAAAGAAGCCGACTTTGGAAAGAAAATAAATACAAGGTGGGTTTTTTCCCCCCTAAACACAACAAAATCACCATCCACTCCAGAAAAATCCCTGATGTTACCCCTGAACACCAAGGTCTGCTTCCTCAGGAAGGCTGAAGGCACTACGTGGCTGCCATTAGTGTGCAGTCCTGTAAGCACAAGCAACTCTGAACAACTGTCCATAGCTCTAGCCAGCTTTAAACAGAAGAATATTTACTCCAAGCATGAGGAAGAAAATGAAGTGCTTGGCCTCATGAGACATATAGCTGCCGAATTTCCTTCCTACAATGCAGTGCCAAGTGGGACTCTCTTTCTTCTCAAGCTACTGCAGAAGAGTTCACTAGGAACATAGTATTAGCACAGCTCTCACCCAAAAGTTAACTACAGGTTTTTTTTTTTCCATGAATCTGTGTCATCTTAACAAGTATCACTTTTTGAAAAGGCAATTAAGCAGCAGCATATGCTTTTAAGGATAAGGATTGTGTTACTCACCTCTTATACCTCACCTGCTGCTTAGACACAACAAAAAAAAGACCACAGCATTTCCTAGCTGAGCAGGAATAAGCCCAGGGACTGCAATTCCACCCAAAAAGTCACACCATGTTCTCCAACTACACCACTGAAGTATCAGGCCAGGCTATCATGTTCTCCCACCATACTCAGAACACATTTCAAAAGATATACAGCTCTACGAAAAGTAGAACGTTCCAGTCAGTCATTATGTACTGTCCTATACAACAGCTCTCAAATGAGGAAACTTTCTGTGAGAGAACGCAAACATTTCTCATCAGTTATTACAATCCTGGATAAATATCTCCTCACCACAATTTCTCAGGTTCCAACTAGGAGCTGCAAGGAAGATCTGAAAAGCTCAAACCCTTTGCTTTCCACTAACATAGAATGTCATTCTTACAAGTAGAAGAAATAAACCTGCTTATATCTCTGTTAGGGTGACAGGAAAGGAAGACCTCCCCAACAGAAGCAATTGTACCATTTAGTTGAATGACTTTTCAAACAGGTCTTCCACTCAGATTTGTGTAATATTTAACCTCCACTGACACCTTTAGATTTCTTTATTCTCCTGAGATGGCAAAGCAGAAAGTGTATCAGAACTAGGTCTTTTGTGCATCTGTTATTCTTCTTCATGCATACACAAAAACAAGCATTTGGTGGACATCAATAAACTGTGCTTCAAAACATGAGATTTTAGGATGGTTCAGCACATAAAAGCAGGATGCGAATACAGAAGATGCGCAAAAAATTACTCTTCCCTGCAAATTTTGAACCAGCTAGCCAATCTTGCACAACTATTACAGAATTATGAGCAGAACCTTAAGACTAATTTGAACACAACTTAAGTCAAGGACTAGGAAAAAAAGGCATTCCCTCCGATGAAAGTTGCAGCAGACTCCAAAGGGCTGTATTTTCTATCAGCTAACCAGTCACACTGGGAAAGGCCAGCAGATGCTCTCCTACTCCACTAAACAATGAGACAGTGAAAAAAGCATTAAAAATAGAAGGTATTGCCAAACAAAACCTAGAAAAGGTACATGTAAGGCATGGGAAAGGAACACCGGGACACCAATCCACAGGAAAGGTCCAGTGTATCTTGTGTCCACAGAACTTGCTTTTCCAAAAAATGTAGCAACACCCACCCTGCTTGACTTCTGATGTGGATAGTGTTCAACAAAAGCGTATTACAATCAAACATTTACTCTCTTTATAAGGCCTGAAAATCCTCTTTCAACATCGTATTTCTCTATGGCCAAAATGGCACACTCCACAGCATGTTGCTGCATCTTTTCAGACATGTCCGTACCCTTTTTCATGGCTGTCTGATCACTCACGGATGTCTGAATTCTCTTCATTGTTCGATACAAAGTTGCAGGAGCAGCCATCTGCCAGGATCACCTGCCAGGCAGTCACACA